GGCTTGCCTGGAGTTGCCCAATCAGTGCCGCAAGGTGACAGATATGCTAGGTATCAAGATTTGGTCAGTCTGCCGCGCCCTGGCAACGTCGTGGGTAATAACTTGCCCTTTGCCAGTGAAGGCGGACGCTGGAGTACGGAGCTGGAGAGCAGTCGGTCCACGTGCGCAAAGTTGTGGCCCAAAGTTGACATATTATAATTAGCGGATACTGCACGATGCACTTTCGTTTGGATGCCATCTCATAAAGACCTCGATGATTCCGTCTGGTCTTGTGGGTCTCTCGCCCATGTGGTTGAAATGCTTGGGTTGAAATGCTTGGACGGGTTTCTTTGCAAAGTTTGCGGCATGTGACGTCAAGGTGGCAGAGGCGCTGGCAGGCAACCAAAAGAACCTGCTGAAGCACCCCAAGAAAATTACTGTTTTTTTGAGGTAAGCGGCGTCCAGGACGGTCCGACTGCATAAGCAGGTCTGGAAGCACGACGTTGTGACAAACACGTAAGCGTACTGCTCACATGTCGCCTCTCACTCAGCACGACTTGGTGCCAATGAGCGACGAATTGGTTGGGTCCCAACCGTTGCCTCCGAGAAGCCACCACTGTCGATAGGTATAAGTCCTTGTTTGGTTCACCCGATGAGGGACTCCCAGAGCATGGCCGAGGGCAAAGATTGGTTCGCTGAGACCCTGCTGAAATGTGTGGGCTCCGCGGGCAATACCGTCTACAGTTTGATAAGGATGTACGGGTGTGAATGGAATGAGGAAACGCCACAGGGGGGGCAAGGCGCGGATTCAAGAAATCCGCGCGGAGCGCCACCATTTTTTATGCTTATGTGTTTTGCTTGTTCTTCTTAGAACGAAAAAATGCAAGGGTCCGCCCGCCAGCTGAAGCACTTTGGCCAACGTCCGACCCAATGTCTAGGATTGTGGATGTCACGACAATGGACACCCTAACAGCCCTATCATCGAATTAACACATTCGTTTAACATGTAGGGAAGCTGGTACTAAACATTACACGTTTAAAATAGTTGTAACACATGTTCTAGACATCTGGAATTTGGACGCCCGAAATGGGCACGGAAAGAATGGGTACAGTGCTCAACAGCAAATGTTGTCCCAGACCAACAGCGGCCGCTGTTGGGCAGGCGGCCTCCTGTCTCGAATGGACACAGGCCGCGGCGGCGCGGATAGCGAGTCCTGCTCAAAATGAACAGGAACTGCTGTTGGGCACTGTACCCATTCTTTCCGTACCCATCTCGTTCGTGCCGATGGAACTTATAAGGCAACGTGCTTCCTCTCCATTGATCGTCCTCCATACGTGTAGGATTAAGTCGGGCGTGTCCCCCTACAGGGGCATTTGGGGCGAATGTTAAAAAATACTCAACAACTGCCACCCAAATACCCAAAAGTGGTCAAGACATCGCCCCCAGACGATCTTTTGACTATTTTTGCTTACTCCCCCCCCAAGTAGAGGGACGTGCCCGCCGGAAGTCTGGGAGTCTGTGCCCGCACAGGAGCGCCAGGGAGCGGGGCGTCCCAGCGCCCACCCCCCTGCGAGCGCCCGCGGCCTCCCCCCCCAACCGACGCGGGGGTGCACTCGGCTCCGGGCTGGCGCCCTGCCGCCCCCCCCCGTCGTCTGGAGGGAGCCCCGGCCGGGAGGCGCTGCACCTCCTCGGTGCCTCTATGGGGCCCCTGTGCTGGGACCGCGCGCGCAGGGACATACGGTAGAGGGAAACTACTGAACACTCCCCCTCCCCCCCAGAACGTTGGGGGGAGGGGGAGCAGTTGACAGATGAGTGTGGCACGACTGTTCGCTAATTTGTTCCGAGGCCTGTACAACTGGGCACGCGCGCTGTGCTCTGTGGGGCCCCCGTGCTGGGAGGCCCTCAGCAGACGCGGAGTGCATTCGGCTTCAGGCTGGCGCCCTGCCGGCCCCCCGAGGTCTGGCTTAAGCCCCGGCCGGGAGGTGTTGCGCCTTCTCTCGGCGGTGGGCAGACCTCCCTTTAGTAGACCTCCCCTCAATGAAAACGGCCTGGGACCGAAACCGACGGACCTGCACCGCAAAAATGACGGCCGCGACGCCCTCTCGCGAACCGAAAACGGCCAATTCCTGAATCGAAATGTCAGGGTAATAGGTCTGTCCACCTCCGATTCTCGGTGCTCTGTAGGGCCCCTGTGTTGGGACGCACAAGGAGATACTAATACTATATGTCCTCCTCGGAGGCGCGTGTCCGACCCGAACATATGGTATACCCATCTGTATACCCATCTTGTAGTATACCGTTTCCCGAGCGGCGTGGCCAGAAAGCGCCGGCCACGAAGATTTCTCGGTGCGCGCGTCGCCCCTGGGGGAGCGACGCACATATAGCAGAAGTATTTTGGGGTGACGCCGATGTGTGTGCCAGGTGCCTCTGTGGGGCCTTCTCGAGTGCAGCCCCCTCACGTTCCTGTGGGTTCGGCTGGGGGCTCCCGCTGTGGACCCCCTCCTCTCCTGCCCTCAGCCTCCTCTTTCGCTCTTGGGAGGGAGAGGGAATGGTAATGTGGAGAAGGAGGAGATGTGCCTCAACAGCCGAGCGTCCAATGCACATGCTCGTGTGAACCATGGGAGCTAGCCGCCAGCTCCCTGCCCCCGTCCCGTCGGAAAGGGAATATGTCATTGCTCTGCTTTGCCGGCTCTGGTGTCCCAGGGTGGACAATGCCCTTTCCTGACAGCCCTGGACCAGCTGGAGCTTCAAAACGGCGGCTCTCGCTCCGTCCAACAGCAGTTCCTGTTCATTTTGAACAGGATTCGCCGTCAGCGCCGCCGCGGCCCGTGTCCATTCGAGACAGGAGGCCGCCTGCCCAACAGCGGCCGCTATTGGTCTGGGACAGCATTTGCTGTTGGGCACTGTACCCATTCTTTCCGTGCCCATTTCGGGCGTCCAAATTCCAGATGTCTAGAACATGTGTTACAACTGTTTTAAACGTGTAATGTTCAGTACCAGTTTCCTTACATGTTAAACGAATGTGTTAATTCGATGATAGGGCTGTTAGGGTGTCCATTGTCGTGGCATCCACAATCCTAGACATTGGGTCGGACGTTGGCCAAAGTGCTTCCGCTGGCGGGCGGACCCTTACACTCTTTCTTGCCGTGCCCATTTCGGGCGTCCAAAATGGACCCTTGCCTGCGCTGCTGAGACGCTGGCCGGCGTCTCGGCGTTTTCGTCCAGCCGGCAACCCGACTCCGCCACGCCGACGCCTCGTGCGCCCAGCTGGCATTCCTACGTTTCCGCCTGGGAACCGCCCGTGGCCGCCTCTATGCGCTGTGACTGGCGGACGACGAGGAAGGGGAGGAGGAGGAGGAGGAAGGAATACGGACCAAGGACGAAGCATGAGGGAGGGAGGAGAAAGGAGGAGGGAGGAAGGAGGAGAAAGGAAGGTTCTTCGTCCGGAGGTACCCTTTTACCGCTTCGTCGCAGCCCCGTGCGCGGCGGCTCGCTTTTTCTAGGTTTCCGCCGAGAGACCGCGCGCCGGCGTTGCACCTGACAGCCAGCACCACAAAGATGGCGCCACAGAGACTGCATCGCACAGCTTGCGATGCATGGATCGCTCAATGCAGACTGCACAGCACAGCTCGCACCGCGTGCGCTGGACGTCGAGTGTGCAAGAACCTACTGTGTTGGGTTCGCGCTGGGTCGCCGATTCTCTGTTCTCCACGAGAAACGCAACTCTGGCCGAGACAGGATGTGGCGAGGAGGAGGAGGAGGAGGAGGAGGAGGAGGAGGAGGAGGAGGAGGAGGGAGGAGGAGGAGGAGGAGGAGCAGGAGGGAGGAGGAGGAGGGAGGAGGAGGATGATGAGGAGGAGAAGGAGGAGGCGAGCCTGGCCTGGCTCAAATGGGGGAACCGCACGGCAGGCAAATATTGGAACTGCAGTCGAGAAGCACCTCTGGGGTGCGGCAATACCTACCACCCCCCCGGCGACTAGCACCTCCCCGCACATCCAGGCACCACTACCGCGATGAGCTGAATCGTGGCTCGAGGATGAGTCCGAGTTGTCCTCAGAGGTGCAGAGAGAAGCATGCCCACACATCTACGTATATGTATTTTATACAGATATGTGTATATGTGTGCGCACACATATGAATGTTTGTTGAGTGTGTGTAGTGTGTATAAATACATAAACATATATACATACATATATATATACGTGTATGAGGAACGCACACACGCACACCCGAATACAGTGTAATCATCGGGCGATGGGGAACAGGAGGGGAGAGACTCTCAGACGTTCTGTTGAGCGAATGGTGTCCGGAGAGAACGTGGAAACTCCTTAGATCTCTTAGGGAACGGCTCTCGTTCCTCGATGGTGCCGACGGCTCTGGTCCGCTCCATCCCTTTACTATGCCAATATGCACCTCGCGTGATCATTGTGGCGACGTGAACAGTGGCACCAACTCTGCTGCACCCACGCGGGAAATAAAAAATAGCATGGAACATGAACACACCAACAACGATGTCACACAAATGCAACATGTTACTGCCGACGCCCAACTCTGTTCCCTTCCGTGAGACGCGACTAGCACAGACATGCCATGCTGCCCCAACGTAATGGCGCAACACTGCGGATTTAATTTATTACGGCTAACGATCGCGCAACATTTGGGGTTTCGATGCCTCAGCCGGAGACAAAGCAGCCTGTCGTAACCCCGACCCCAAGGATTCTGCTGGCGTTCGCACAACAAGTAACAATTCACAATCGCAGAAGGTAAACATTCGACCGACTAGGTTGGCAACCCGAATAAACTACCACTGTAACCGTGACTCTGGCAAAAAACTCCAGGCCCAGATGCCTGGCCCAAACGCATACGCCTAAGCATCCTGCTCATGTGTTCTCCTGATTTCCATCTTATAGGGGGGGTAGGGTCGATGAGGGAAACTGGAGGATCTAGTGGTGGGTAGGGATATCCTGTCTGACCTTGACCCCATCCGTTCCGAGCTCCGCTTCCCAGCAAGACCCTCGGCCTCCACGGACGCAGCCAGCAACTCCACCTCCTGCGGCCGCGCTGATTCAAGTCTGTGCGGCGGTGCGCGGGGCGATCTGTGAGCACGCGGGGCCAATATGCTGCCAAGTGCACGGCCGGTGAACGGGGATACAGTGGCTTTTGCATGCCTCTGCTGATCAGTTATGACAGCAATGACGTGGCCTGCGCATCGCATCCCAGGAGCAGCATGGCCGCTGCGGGGGTCTCGGGGTTTGTGCAGGAGCCTCGTGCACATGGCGGGCGTCCCCATTTCCTCGTGGCCCGTTCCCAGTCACCAACATTCAATCCACCAAGGCCGAGCTTCTCCCGATCACATGCCCCGCCCAGTGCGCTCGTCACAGCAGCCTGACTTCACCAGGAGGCAAGGTGACTCTACCTTGGAATCTCTACTTGCACCCTGGGAGTCGAAAGGAGGGGCTCGACAAAGGCAAGCTGATGAGCGCCAGGCAAAAATCGGCGTGCAACTCGGTGGACTTTGTGCGGGATCGTTGAGGCGGGGCTCGACGATCCGGCACATTTTCGTGAGGATTCCTCCGCTCAGGGCCCACTCCCGGCGTGCGATTCTGCTGCCGATTGAGACCTCCGCGCGAGAGCACCGTGCTGAGAATGGTGGAGCCGCGGCCCGCAAATGCTTTGTGGCGCGATGGGCAAATGATCGATTGCTGATGCACGTTCCAAGGGCGCCTGACTTCGCGCTCTGGCGCTGCCCCCCAGGGGAGAAGAGGAGCAGGAGGAGGAGGAGGAATCGGAGCCAAAGCGCAGAGCGCGAAATCACTTCGCGCCCACGAGGGCCCCTTATGTTCACAGCCACCGGATGAGCCGAACGAGCGCGTTCCACTACTCGCAGAGTGGCTGCTCGCAAATGACCTGGATCCGCCGCACGGGATCTACGATCCACTACATCCAGGCAGGCACGTGTTCTGTTTTACGCCTGCGAGCAGGCACTGTGCAAGAAGTGAAATGCGCTCGGCGATGAGCCAACAGATCTATCCTTAGGTCGGGCACGTCCTCCTACAAGGGAATTGTGTGTGAAAGCGTGAAACATAGTCAAAACACACACCCGACAAAAATCACAAGATCGTCCCAGACTGCTTCTTGACTACTTGGGCATACTCCTCCTGCAGAAGGACATGCCCGACTTGAATCCATCCGTGTCGGGCTGGAGCGCGGCAGGCGCTGCAGGCGGAGGGAGGGCCGCGGTCCTCCAGCGACGCCGCCAGCGAGGCGGCGGCCTCCAGGGACGCCTCCAGGGACCCGCCCGGCGAGGACCTCTGGGCAACAGGGCTGCGCCCGCGCGGCGGAGAAGGTCCCTCGGACACCAGCGACAGTTCACCCGTCTACAACCGAAACAGAATCAGGAAACACTCCACGACTACCCCCCCCTCCCGCCCCAAGGGGCCCCCAAGAGCCCCCCAAGAGGCCCCAGGGGAGCCCAATACGCCGCCAGGGAGCCCTAAGACGCGCCCAAAAAGCCCCCCAAGACGGCCCCAAGAGGCCCCAAATAGCGCTCCAGGGACGGCGGAATGAGCGAAGCGATCAATAAGGAAACACTCCATAAGCATGAACTTCTGGCGCTCCGCGCGGCCTGCCGCGCCGGACCCCCCTCCCCTGGCGCGCGGGGAGCGCCAGGGGGGCCCGGCGCAGATCCAAGAGCAAAGCGCGGAGCGCCACACGTTGATGCTTATGACGTTCTTTCCTCGACAAACATACGATAAAGAAAACCATGCTTTCAGAAATCTGAGCCAGCTTCCCGGAAACCGTTTGAAACACACATCTGGGAAAGAGGCCGACGATGCCCATGAAACCGGCGGCCTCCTCGGCCTTGGATCGGAACGAGGCGGGCAAAGCCAGGAGGATGCCCTCCCTCGCGGGTGGCCGAAGGAATGGCCGCGAAGCTGGCATCGCCTTCGTCCAAGCGCCAACGGGCGCTGCTCCGCACAGATGGGGGGGGTGGGCGGGTGGGGGGGCGAAATCGTAAAGTTCGGGCCAGATAAACCTGTCGGCAACAGGGTGGCCTCCTGAAAACCCGCCATAGCAGCGGCGCGTGCAGTGACACGCGGGCGAGCTAGGCTCGCGACGAGCGGCCGAAGAGGGCCGTTCGAAGGAGCTCAGCCCCGTGGCGGGGTGACGGCAACATCGCCGGCTGCCTGGGCCCGCAGAGCACGGGGCCGCGCAAGGGCTGGGGTCGACCAGGGCAGGCGCGTCGCCGCACCCCCGCGCCCGCCACGCACGACGGCTCTGGTGCGCACGGTCTTGGGGAGGGCAGGCGCCCCTGGAAGCCGCCGCAGAGACTGCGCGCAGCCATCGCCATGAGCAGAGCGACGACCGCCGCGACGACGACTGGCGGCTCAGGTCCACCTCCGTGCCAGGAGCGGGCGGTGGGGCGGGCGGCGGCCGCGGGAGGCAGAGGGCAGGCGGCGGGGCCCGCCGTCTGTGGCGGAGCAGGGGGGGCCCGCCTGGCCCACCCAGAGGAAGCACGGCGGGGTCCGCCTGGGTGGGCCAGAGGAAGCACGCGGGGTCCGCCTGGGTGGACCAGGGGGGCCCCAGGGGGAGCCGCATCCCGAGCCTCAAGTGGATGGGAGGCTGGAGTCGCGAGCCGCTCGCAGGGCGCGGCGCGCCACCCGCGGACAATCACTTCCCCCGTTCCCTCGATGGCATCCTGCGCGATCGCCTGCATAAGGCGCCCGCGTCGCGGTCGAGGGGAGCCTGGGAGCTGGGAGCACGCGTCGCGGATAATATAGACTGGCAGGAGTAGATGGGAGGAATGAAGTAAGTGAACGAGAAGGCGGAGGCGCCACATGAATTACACAAACCCCAACCATCGTAAAAGACGGGGAATGACGTACGTCTGTAGTACACACACACACACACGTCAACCAATCACATGCAACCAGTGGCAAGCATAAATCACGGACATGCGAATGGTTCGCCCTCCCTTTCCAGGGGGGGCCCTCGGAAGTCCCCCTCCCCTCCTTACGAAGCATGGGGCCCAAGGTGGGGAGTTTCCGAAGCTGCCCTTTTAAAGCAGAAGGTACGTCCGGACTCCCTTTTCAAAGGCAGGGGGATCAGAAATGACCTTCCCTTCTTTCCCTGTCGAACTGCGTCCTCGTTGTCGTCGTCGTCCTCGTCGGATTGGTACTTGGGGTCAGGGTGCTATGATTAGGGTTAGGGTGCTACTGTTAGGGTGATAGGTTCAGGGTTGGGTTCGCAGTATTAGGTTTCGATTGTCTGATTAGGGTGTTGGTGAGTTACGTTGCTAGCGTTAGGCGCTATGGGGGATAGAGCAAGGCAAGTAATGCCAGGGTGTTGCGGACGGATTCGAGTGTTACGGTAAGGGTTCATGCATTGGGTTCCGGTGTTCGGCTTAGGCTACGGTTCGCGCGTTCGGGCTAGAGTCGAGGTGTTTAAAATCGCATGGTAGGGTTACGTTTCGGATGTTCGGTTTCTGGAGTTAGGGTGGTGGTGATAGGGTCAGGGTTCGCGTGTTCGGGTCATGTGTTCGGACATCGTTCGGGTGGTAAGGTTAGGGTGCAACTTCCAGGAATCGGAGGGGCACGGGTGGAGGAGGTCTCCGGTCGGAAAGCTTAAATTGAGCAGGGGCTGAACGTCCGGGCAGTCCGAATCGCCTACCACGGAATGTCTTCATAACAAAAGAACGGTTAAATAACAGGCGCATTGCCCTTGTAACACTAAAGCCGATGCGTTGAAACAGGACGGTCTCGGACAGAAATGTTCTAAGAACATGCCGTGCAAACCGCACATTTGCTTGGAACGCTGTCTGGTGGGCGTATAGTCAAGCCCGGACGCTTCGCCACTGCTTGGTTAAAAGGGGGAGGGGGGAAACTTCCGTGGGGCGGGAATAATCCTTGCGAAACACCATAAAAAAAGCTTTGCGAAAGACCCAACCATATGCAGTTGTGAATACCGCAATTGTGAATACCATCTTTGTCCGCGCTCCCTATGTGGCCACAGCTTCCCGCCGGAACCCGACATGCTCAGGAACACGATCGTGGCCGTCTTCGCGGGCGCCGGCGACGACACGGACGGCGTCCCTCTGACCGAGGAGCAAAAGCAGAAGAGGGCTTCGAGAGCCATGAGGGAGGAGGTGGCGTTGCACGTCGACACGGCGGAGTACGACGCCCAGGCGCGGTTGTTGAAGCAACACATCTATGGGGCCACGATCCTCGAGAGGGGTGTGCCGAAATGGCCTGGGGCCGCCATGCGAACGCTGCCACTGGGGCCTTCGGTGGAGCTCCTATGGGGCCACGATCCTCGTGAGGGGTGTGCCGAAATGGCCCAAGGCCGCCATGCGAACGCTGCCACTGGGGCCTGCGCTGGAGCTCCTATGGGGCCACGATCCTCGTGAGGGGTGTGCCGAAATAGCCAGAAGCCGCCATGCAAACCCTGCAACTGGCGCCTGCGGTGGAGCTCCCTATGGGGCCACGATCCTCGTGAGGGGTGTGCCGACATGGCCAGAGGCCGCCGTGCGAACCCTGCCACTGGCGCCGTCGGTGGAGCTCCCTATGGGGCCACGATCCTCGTGAGGGGTGAGCCGAAATGGCCCGGGGCCGCCGTGCAAACCCTGCCACTGGCGCCTTCGGCGGAGCTCCCTATGGGGCCACGATCCTCGTGAGAGGTGTGCCGAAATGGCCCGAGGCCGCCATGCGAACGCTGCCACTGGGGGTCTTCGCTGGAGCTCCCCACTGGGCCACGATCCTCGTGAGGGGTGTGCCGAAATGGCCCGAGGCCGCCATGCAACCCCGGCACTGGGGGCCTTCGGTGGAGCTCCCTATGGGGCCACGATCCTCGTGAGGGGTGTGCCGACATGGCTCGAGGCCGCCATGCGAACCCTGCCACTGGCGCCTTCGGTGGAGCTCCCTATGGGGCCACGATCCTCGTGAGGGGTGTGCCGAAATGGCCCGAGGCCGCCATGCGAACCCTGCCACTGGCGCCTTCGGTGGAGCTCCCTATGGGGCCACGATCCTCGTGAGTGGTGTGCCGAAATGGCCCAAGGCCGCCATGCGAACGCTGCCACTGGGGCCTGCGCTGGAGCTCCCTATGGGGGCACGATCCTCGTGAGGGGTGTGCCGAAATGGCCCGAGGCCGCCATGCGAAGGCTGCCACTGGGGCCTTCGGTGGAGCTCCCTATGGGGCCACGATCCTCGTGAGGGGTGTGCCGAAATGGCCCGAGGCCGCCATGCGAAGGCTGCCACTGGGGCCTTCGGTGGAGCTCCCTATGGGGCCACGATCCTCGTGAGTGGTGTGCCGAAATGGCCCGAGGCCGCCATGCGAACGCTGCCACTGGGGCCTTCGGTGGAGCTCCCTATGGGGCCACGATCCTCGTGAGGGGTGTGCCGAAATGGCCCGAGGCCGCCATGCGAACGCTGCCACTGGGGCCTTCGGTGGAGCTCCCTATGGGGCCACGATCCTCGTGAGGTGTGTGCCGAAATGGCCAGAAGCCGCCATGCGAACGCTGCCACTGGGGCCTGCGCTGGAGCTCCCTATGGGGCCACGATCCTCGTGAGGGGTGTGCCGAAATGGCCCGAGGCCGCTGTGCAAACCCTGTCACTGGGGCCTTCGGTGGAGCTCCTTTATGGGGCCACGATCCTCGTGAGGGGTGTGCCGAAATGGCCCGAGGCCGCCATGCGAACGCGGCCACTTGGGCCTTCGGTGGAGCTCCCTTATGGGGCCACGAAGCGCTGTACTGGGTGGGTGAAACGCAGGGAGGGGGGAGGAGGAGGGGGAGGAGGAGCGGGAGGAACGCGGGGCACCGTCTCTTCAAAACGAGGACCCAACACCACAGGATGGTTGGGAATAAAATTGTAAATGTCGCGTTCTGGGTGCCCCTGTCGTTGAACCCCCTATGGGGCCACGTAGCGCTCGCTGTACTGGGTGGGGTAGACGCATGGGGCTGCGGCCACTGGGGCCTTCGGTGGAGCCCCGGGTGGGGCCACGAAGCGCTGTGCTGGGTGGGGGGGACGCATGCGGCCGTGATCACTGGAGCCGTCGGTAGATCCCCTATGGGGGCCTTCGGTGGAGCTCTGAATGGGGCCACGAAGCGCTGTGCTGGGTCGGGGAGACGCATGCGGCCGCGGCCACTTGGGTTTTCGGTGGAGCTCCCGACAGGGACACGAAGCGTGTGAGGGGTGTGCCGAAATGGTCGACATGTGGAGGGCAACGGCAGGAATGGGGAGTAAGGATGGGCAGGGGCAGCGGGAGGGAGGTGACGTCGGGCGCTGTCTCTTCAAAACGAGGACCCATCACCACAG